TCGACAATATGTTTTGTAAATATGTGTGCTGAAGTGGTACACAGTTCTACATAATGTATTTCGTATGTATAGCAGTGACTTCTAATTAATTTGCGTATAATGTATGCCTATGTTGCATGCAAACAGAATAATAAACGTATTATACAAGACGATGTGTTAAAAAAATAAAAGAAACTAATATGATAGGTTACAGTTATTATAAGAAGTCTCTCTCTGTTTTGAAATCTCAATTCACAAAAGTAAACGTCAGGAATTAACGATCAATATGATGAAATCATAAAGAGTGCACCGTCCGTGATCCTCTTTTTGAAAAAGGAACGCCAGCGCTTAGGTTGAGTAGTCGACCGCTCCGCTGCCGTTCTGCTGCATCCGGACCGACCGACGACGCGTCAGGATGCGGGCGGGTGCCGTCGAAGCAGACGCGTCGTTGGCCTCGTTGGGAGCTCCTGCTCCTGCTGCCAGTCCTAGACCCGTTTCCGCGTTGTTGTTGATCAGTGACGCTGCAGCGGACGCCTCTTCACTGGCCATTCCGGCAACAGCGTTGTCCAGGAGCAGCGGCACGGCCACTGGCGTCGTCACAGGCTGATGCTCCTCCTCCAGCTGCGAGCTGCGTCTCGAAGCAATGGCTCGCAACTTGGATTTTTTGGGCGGCAGGGTTCGTGGGGCAATAACTTCCCTAATTGGCGCCGTTTCCTGGACGTTGTTGACCCCTGGCGTGGGCATGGGCACCACCGCCACCGCTGGCGTGTTCTCCTCCTCCAGGTAATTTCGTTTGCGCGCCAATCGCGCTGCATTCCCGTTGCTATTGCTGCCCTCATCCAGCGGCGGCGGCACCTGTTGCACAGCCATGCTCTGTTCGTTGTTAGTGCTGCCATTGTAACTGTCTGGATTGGATTGGTTGTTGTTCGCCAGGCAGGCGTTTTCATCGATGGTTTCCAGCTTGCTTATCGTCTTGTTGGTGCCCCCATTGGTGGCCGGCGGTGTCAGGAGCTCATCTTTGGCGCTAACCTGCTTTAGCTGGGCGTTCTCCTTCTCCAGCGATTGAATGCGATCGCGCGTGGTCTTCAGTTCTTGCTGCAGAAAAAGAATGGTGCTCTGCATGCCCTCCACATCCTCGTCTAGTTCTTGCAGGAAATCATCCAATTCTGTGAATCAAAGAGTTTACATTAGGTAATCTTTCTTATGGTATAGGTATGGGTTAACATCTAACAAGATTGAACTTTGAAGTTAATTGGAATGTTTTTAAACTTATACTACTTTTAATTTTAATCGGATCTACTTTAGAAATATTTAAAATCAAATTCTTATTCAAAACTAAGAAGAAGTATAGTTTTTTTTATAGATCTTAATAACGAAATGAACCTACCCGACTGCGACTTCTTGACCTCCTCGCTGAAGCTCTTTTGCATGGCCAGCTCGGTCTCCAGCTTGGCCAGTCTGCCGTTGGAGGTCATTTTACCCAGCTCCTCGTTCTCCTGGTAGAGCAGCCGGCACTTGGCCATCAGGCGCTTGCCGGTGTTCGAGTCTGGTGTGAACTTCCAGGCGGACAGCTCGTTCTGGGTCTCCTCCAGCTTGGCCTTGGTGGCCTTTAGCTCTTTCTTGAGCCTTTCGAAGAGCAGATTGACCGCAGGATCGAGGAGGGCGGTGCGCAAGGCCAAGGCAGTTGGCGCCTGCTGGGCCTTGTACTCTGCAATTTGGCTCTGGAAGGCATGGGACAAGCATTAATATTTAAGTATTTAAGCGGAATCAAAGGTCTACTCACCACATAGTCCTGGAATTCCTGTTCCTTGTTGGCCAGCCGCCGCATGAGGATCTTCTCACGACGCTGGGCATCCGCGCATTGCTGACCCATGCGGACCTGCTCCAGCTTGAGATTTTCGATCTCATCTGCGAAACGAAGGATAAGATTAGCTATTGAGGTCTAAGTGCGGGCGTTCCAAGCTGAGAGAGCCACTCTGTTTTTGGTTTGCACGAGTCATTACAATAGATATTTTACAAGTTCTTAATGGGCAAGGCAAAGTGTTTGATTTTTAGGTGGAACTTAATACGAAATCATACCAATGCGTTGCAATCATTCGTGTAAGTTCGTGACATGGTCGGTGGAAAAGGCCGCATCCCGTCGTCAATCTCTGGCTGATAATGATATTGATTTTGATTCGATGCGAGGGTCACAACCACTTGAACTTGAACACGATTTCGATATAGATATCGTTGGCATTATCTCTGGCACTTGAACAACCACACCTGCCAATCTTCTCATTTCTTGCATTTCCATATGCATTAGCATCGAACTCAATTGGCGATTGAAATTGAATCTTCGCGGCATTTTTTCATACACTGTGGGAAACAACGACTGATTCATACATTTTCTGTGGCAAAACTGAAAATATTTTTGAAAAACACTTGCAAAAAACTCGACGCACACACATTGGGCTCTCGAAAGCTTTTTCGTATACATATGGATTTGAAAAGCTTTTCCCCTTCTCTTTTTTGTGGCATTTTCGAACACTCTTTTGTCATACAAAAAGTTTATTGACTTCGCATTTGTTGTATTTGTTGTGCAAACACGTATTCTTTGTATTTGTATTTATTTAGTCGAGTATATTATTTTTGTATTTATATTTTGCTGAGGCAAACAGATGTGTGTGCGTGTGTCCCACATTACATGTTAATTGATTAATAGGCGGCCAATTGAGCGTTTAAAAATCAATTAAGTAATCTTATCTTAAGGCAAAACACACGCACCCACACATTCACCGCTTTTTGGCGCCATTTATTTAAATATTTCGCATTAAACACACGGGGTAAAGTTTTTGGCAATCACTTTTTCACCACAATTTCAAATGAAAAATAATTATACTTTATTTTCTTTTTCGTTATGCACTAGCACTTGTTTACTTCATTATTTATTATTTTTTAGGCTTAACAAAAGTAAGCGAGAGGGGCATCAAGAGGGAGAGAGATGAAACTAGTGGGTGTGGTGGGGGGCGCAGACACGTTGGCTCTCTCCTCTTCTCCTCCTCTCTTTTTCTTCTTCGGGCACGTAGGCAAACGAAAAGTGGTCGCAAAACGAAAACTGTACACCGCAAAGAAGACGACGAAAACAGCGAGAAAACGAGGAAATTGGATAACTTCGTTTCAGATTCTTTAATTATTTAAATTTATGTTATGGTTGTTACTAGGCTACTCCAGGCTTATTGGGAATCATGATTTCATTAGATTTGATTAAAGATTGTGGAAAATCTTGATTTGTTATGTTAATTTTTCTTTACATTATATTGGAAACTTTAGCTTTTTTTCAGTTCTATATTACTTTTAATTTAAAGCCTTAGCAAGTTTGATTTTTTCATTTCAAACCTTTGGGGGTTAACATATTTTTATTTTTGTTATTTTTTTAGTTATAATTATAATTTTATGATTATTATTATTATTTGATTATTTAACTCATATTTTAGACAGTTCTTTTGCACAACACTTCGTAAACACTTGTTAACTATTTAGGCTTTCGTTTGCCCTTTAGTTCGTATTAGGCATTATTTTATTTTTTATTCGTAGTCCTTTTAAAGCACTTTCACTATTTAGAAGATTTTTTGGGGTGGTATGTAAAAAAATAACTTAAAAATTAACCAAAACGCCGCTGAAAGAATGTTCTTTAAAAGAGTGTTCGCTTCGATTCGATTCACATAATATACGTTGAGTTCTTTTCCGAGTGTTTTTCATAAACAAATTCAATGGCACAAAAAAACCCAAAGGTGTGTGGGGACAGTAATAAACTAATTAAACTAAGACTTTTTGATTTTCGTTTTATACAATTTACACAGAGTTAACACTTTCGATCGTGGGTTTTTGAAACGAGTATGTATGTATATAGGGGGGTATTATATAGATCAGATCTCTGATAGCAGTGTACCAAAATGTGCAAAATACCTTCGAGCAAGCGTTGACGCTGTTCGGCGGCTGCAACAGCCTCTGCAACAGCTGCTGCGTGTTGCTGCTGCTGTTGCTGCTGCTGCTGATGCTGCTGCTGTTGTTGTTGCTGCTGCTGCTGCTGTTGCTGCTGCAAATGTTGCTGCTCCTGATGATGATGATGGTGCGGATGCGGATGGTGATGATGGTGATGGTGCGACGAATCCTCGAGACCCGAGGGCGTTGGGGAGGCGGGGCCGCCACTGGCTCCACTATTTTGGCTGCTGTTTATGATATTTAAATTTTGCTCGTATTTGGTCGGGGGCATTTTGTCGTAACTGTTCATCAAGGGTCTCTGATCGTCCATAGTCATTGCAGCGACACTCATTATTTGCTAATTAAAATGCTGTTGCGGTTCTTGTTGTTGTTGTTGTTGTTGTTGTTGTGGGTCCTTGCTGGCGTTGTTGTTGCTTTTCATAGGGGCCGCTCGCTCACACACACACACACACGCTCTCACCAATACTCCCTCACTCACACACACACTGGCACACACCAATGGCGACGCGGATGGCAAAGGTTTTGCAAAACCTCGATTTCGCGTACTTTTCGCGCTTGCTCAACGCTCAATTAATGACTTATCGCTGGATTGTCCTTTGATTCACACTTTATGTATGTTTGCGGGCGGTTGGGAACACTTTTACGGCGTTATTTCTTAATTTTTCAACGCTGCGTGAAATTTCTCGATTGGGGGCTGTTAACTGTTGTGCGGAATCCAACATGGCGGCGCTGAAAAATACTAAATTTGCCAGCATTTATGAATGCAGCTCTGGGTTCGAAACACGGCTTAAACTCATCCATTGACTCAAACCAAATTACTGGCACTATGTTAAGTGCTGGCATTCACAGAACTGTTAAGTGAACAAAATTAAAATTTGTAATTTATTATGTTGTATAATTTATTATTTTTCAAAACTTATTATGTTTCAAAATGTTTTTCAGTAATACTTATTTTAAATTTTGTTTATAATTTTCTTGTTGCAATGTTGAAATTCTTTGGCAATGATACCATATATCATGTTATATTTGAAGACTTCAAAAGTGGTCACACTTGACCAATGTTTTGGAAATTGTTTTGGTTTTAAGCACGCAAAAAACATGGCAGAATCCCCTCAGATACAGATAAAACTTGAGCAGCAAAATATCAAGGAGCGATTAAATCTTCACGTCAAGCGACGCCTTCAACAGGACACAGATAACCCCATCGAGAGTCCTGATTTGTTGCCAAGTGAACAAAATCTAAAACGCAACAAGGGAAAAGAAGTTCCCAAACCTCGAAAACCCTATCAAAAACGCACAGAAAAACCCAAAACAGAAGCCACAAAGTGCAAGAAAGGTGGGTGTTTGTGTTTACATATGTAGGGATAATGATTAATATGCGATATTTTAAAGTTGGACAACTTGGTAGTCCGGCGGGGGAAACGGATCCCTTGGACGATCAGGAACCGGAGGGCTTTTCCCCTGAGGCGGCGGACGGAAAATCGTCCAGCCGAGATCGCTATAAGAACGCCGACATACTCAACATGGTGTTGAACGTTAAAAAACGTATTTTAATGCAGGATCCCGAGGTCCAGGCCTTCTGGACCGAAATAATGTCTGCCATCAAGAGCTAAGGTCATAATAATCTATTCAGGTTATTCTTTAAGTTCTTATTATAGCTATTTTTAGTTTGTTTTTATATTTATACGTAGTATAAGATTTTTTATTAATGATGTGTAAATAAAACATAAGAATATTTTTTAAAACCGTGCTTTTAGAGGTCTAATAATCCGTGTCTTACAATATGAATTGTTGCATTTAATGTTAAAATTATAAGATTAAAATGGGTATTTTTCAAAATAACACTTGGCCTTTTTTAATATTTAAGCAATAAAAAATGACTTTTGGTACAAACCAATTTTATATTCAGTTAGAATTCCAACATATAATGAAGTCTTAATGAACTCATCATTAAAATACTTTAAAGTAGAAAACGCTTTTATATGATCGCTTTAGACATTGCTTGGAAACATCTTTGCCAGTCCCCCAAAACAAATGAGGTATATTAAAAAATCTTGATGAGATAATGTTGAATTTTGAGTCGCTTTATAACAATTTTAAAACGACATTTAAACCGTCGATTTTGAAATGGTGAAAACAAGAGTTATAAACTTATTTTTCACGAATGAGGAACGCCGAAATAGTAATTGATATGTTTTTACATCTAACTCTGATTTAGTTTAGAAAATTAAAAAAAATATATGAAGTGTCTTGGTCTTTACTGCGCAGACTCTCTCTGGGCGAACTCTTTCTCTATCGAGATTTCTCTCGGGAATCTCGCCGGCCGCCGAAGAAGCGGCCTGCGGACAGCTGCGGATTTGACGGAGCGCTCAGAAAGAATTTCACCGTGTTTGGGGTTGCATCGCGTCGCGTGACCGCAGAAAAGTCCACAAAAAAGTCCAAGTCCAATATCGACCATTTTGAGTCCGAATTCGATTGTGTGACCACTCAAAAGGTAGCCAAAAGTTCGAGTGCGACCGTAAATTGGCGAAATTACGCGATTCTGAGCTCATCGGGCCATTAAGCCGTGTTAGATAATCCCGCTTCAGTGGCGCGGTTCGCTATCGATTTAACTTTTTTCGCTTGGTTTCTCAAAAGGGCGCTCGCGCCCCCTCTCTTTCTATTGAAGACCACCCCCCTCTCTTTCTCTTTCTCAGGGTGACTGACGCTCTCTCCCTCTCTCGCAGTCCCGCTTTCTCTGTTTCTCTCGGTCGCTTTGACTTTGTGCTTCGTCCTTGCGAGAGAATTTGCACTGAAATCGCACTTAAATCAGCCCACCCCCGAGAACCCTTCGCCCACAACCAGTCAACATTTCACCCACGAGCCACCCCCTTTGCCCAACTTTTCCCAACCCCCGCTTAGCCCTTTCCCCGTTTTCCCTGGCATCCGCTTTTCTTTTCGCTTTTCATTTCGGGGCCCTTTCATTTCCACTCTGGTGTCATCAGCTTGAAATACTTCAAGAGCCAGGGAAATTCCAAATATCTCCACTCTTACGTAAATAAATAAAAGAGAATTGTTTCCGAAAGGAAAACGAAAACTTTTTGAAAAACTATCGAAAGTACTCGTGGGGGTCTGGCATTATATAACTGCCAAAGTAAAAGTGAAAAGTGACTTCAAAATAAAGGAGAACCAAAGTGCATAAGTGATTACAAAACAAGTGGGAACAGTTGGTGGTTCGGATGGAAAACGGACAATAAATAAGTGAAAATAGTATTAAAAGGATAAGAATTGCTATCGAAAACTGTACAATACCTAACCTTAAAGTGGCTAATTAACTGATAGCCAAGTCTATAAGCACCCTCCAACGACCACGGCCACGACAACGAATCCTTTAATCCTCGAGGTCTTCAACGGCATTACACAACAAAAGTGCAAAAACCCATCCCTGATAATTTTACCTGTGCCACCTGAGTGACTTTCTTCTCATGCCACTTGTTCTCCTCAATTTTTTGTTCGTTCTAGTTTTATTTTTTTAATGGCTAAATCGATATGCCAGATTCGTGCTTCTGCCAATTGTCTGGCTATTACATAACAACAAGAGGAACGAGCTCGAAGAAAAGCCCACGATTGGCAGGAAGGACACTGAAACTATTTCCCGCAGGAAATGCCAGAAGACGGAGACAGTTGATGGCAAAAATGAAATGAAGAGGGGGTTTTTGAAGAAAAGTGGGCTAAAACAGGACCTGAACTGGGTCAGTTATTGAATTTTCCGAGTAGAAAACCGGGGGAATGGGCAATGTCCTGCTAAATTCAACTGAACATCAAATGTTGATGGGAAACTAACATGAAATGGTTCCACTCAATCAAGGTACCCCCTCATATACATATTGGCTATATATATGCCCATCTAGCCTTTCGATTGAAACTCTTCCTGTTTCGCCTGTCAGTTGGCCAACAACAATCCAATTTTGTTGTGATTGAGTGGCCGACATGACAACGGCCCCTTGACTACCATATTGATTGGCTTTTCATTCGTCTTGCATATATGAAAAGGACCTGTGTTTGTGTGCCAGAAACCCGAATTTGTTGGCAAGAACGGGGCGTATGCGTAATATTTCTTACTCTGATCTGTCTACCCACTTTGCTTTCTCCCCCATCCTTTTGGGTCTGGACAATTTGGAGTGGGCCCAACTGCAGTGCTCTAGAATCAAGCACTATGGCTATGGCTTCAGTGCATTGCACTTTTTCCGATTACGTGCCATAAGGGGTTGGCACATAAGTGGGGCTTGCCTTGCTTGTTTGTGGTTAGATTTGGAGCGAAATGGCCAAGCCAACAGCAGGAAGTCTAGGAAATGGGCGGAAAAAGTAATTACTTGAGTGGCCCGGAAATTGGTTATTTAAATGCAAAATGAAGTCACTGTAGGGGTCATCAAATGAGTCATGTGGGGTCAATTATGTCTTATTTAACATTTCAATGTATTTCAAGGAATAAGAAATGCGAATTTAATACTTTGATACTGAATTTAAAATTATAAATATATATATATACATAAATATATATGTGAAGAGCCAATTTAATTTTATAATTATTTTAAAGATTTTTAAAACGAATATTTTAAATTTATAAAGTAGGTAAAAATGGTTTGGTAGAAGTAAAGTTTTTTACTAAAATCAATGTTCTTACTTTTTGTAATATTAAATAATTTTTAAGCTTAAAAATAGGTTTGCACAAAATAAAACTCTAAAAATCGTTTTAAATTAAAAAAAAATGGAGGGTTCTTGCGATCTAGCACAGTTTTTCTACAAATATAAAAATCATTGAATAATTTAAAATACTTCACTATTATAAAAAAAACCGTAAGTCTTAGCAAATGTACTATAAAAAAGGAAAATAGATTGAGCCATCAACTGGGAGGCCTATAAAGCCACTTGGCCACAAACCGCAAACGATGGCAAAACTATTAAAAGCCCCAAGAGACAGGGAAATCGAAGGGTTTTGCAGGGGAGGTACATATTGGTAATTTGTTACCTAGCTACCGAGAACCGTTAGCAATTACCCACCATCCACAAAACTGGTAGTGCTGGCTGGGAAAATCAATTGGCTGTTGGGCAGAAAAGGGGAGGAGTGCTGGGTCTGCGTTTGAGCAATCATTGCAATCCAATTAAATGGACAGTCAGTTCCAAGACAAGAAATACAAAAAAAAAATTGGGTAAAAAATGGAAAAAAACAGTCGAGAATGGGTTCCACTTGGGATCCACCAGCTCACTAATTGGGTCGCTAGAGGGCGCGCGTCATCGGGGAGAAAGAAAAAGAGATTGTGTGGGCAAGAGAGAGTGGGGGTAAAAGAGAGAGCTCTCTACTTGCATTGCGCCGTCGCCTTGCCGTCCCTTTCCCCCGCTTTCCAAACTGCAGTTTCTGCGTCCCACTTTGTGTTTTTGCCTCTTTCTTCTTCTTTTCCTTTGGATTTATTTTTGTAACGGCGATTTTCACTTTTCATTGCAGTCGTATTATATACAACATATATTTCGCTAATCTTCCACGGGCTATTAAGCAATCTATATACATATAGGTTTTTAAATTACTTTACACATTTTCCGGTTTTTTTACTTCGTCGCTTTCAGCCTAACATGCTAATGTAGCATCGAATCAGTTCGCAAATTGTTCAACGAAAGCGAAATCAAAACAAATTGTTGCTCCAGCCGCCGAGCGAAAAAGCGTGGACCCATTAAAAGAAAGGAGCATAAATAATTCATTTCAATAAACACCAATACATAATAAAATGTCGCCATTCATGGAGAAGATGTTGTTGTTGTTAGGCGTGCTCTGCTGCATACAAGGTAAGCCCCAAAGTTTATGCAATGCAAAAAAAACACACAAGCCACACACATACACACACTCGCCCGCTCGCACACTGACGCAATACCGAACCCTGACATTTGGCTATGTACATACATACATATGTACTATGCCATAATTCCACGGATCGGAGAAAGTGGTCCTAATGCTGCACAAAAATACGCTTAAAGCTCCAGGACCTTTAAGTTGTACATCATTAAAACCTTTGCTTTTCGATAAACTTATTAAATTATATCATTTTTTAATTAACAACCAAATGGTTTTCCTTCAAAATGTTGTTCTACTTTAAGGGGTTTTTTAAATTGAAGATTTTTAAAACAAGCCATACCATTCATCATTATTTTAATTTTTTTCCGGTTGGATTTCCGCCTTACAAAATCTTAAAGTATTTTTAGTTATTTATGTTTATAAACTTGAAATATATATTGAATTCCAATTTAGTTTACAGCTTTATGTTTTAAGAGGGTTTTCTGGTCTAGAAATTTGAAAAATAGTTTTTTTTGAGCATATTTTGAGCATAGGCTTCACAAAAAATACATATATACCACCACTAAGGCTTAGGTCATGTCGTTTAAAACAAACATATTTTTAAAAAGATTATAAGTACAATTTTAAAAATACTCAATAAACCGAAATAGTAATTCAAAAATACTTCTATCTTTAGTCTCCATAGGAAAATCTTAGAATAAATAAAGCTCAGACAACTGCAAAAATAGCTATTAACATAACATCATTTATTATAAATTGGTAAAGTCTGCAAAAGCAAACACCTTTATAGCTAAATATAATCCGCTCTTATCCAATTTAAGCTGAATACAAAATTCAGCTTTAAGTCAAAGCAAATTTCAAACATTTAAATCACCAGACGTGTGTTTTTATCCAATTAGTAAATTAAAAGATAACGAAATTTAAATCGCAACTTAAAACGATTAATAAATATCTAGATAGATTGGTAAGCAAACAAACATTAAGGGTTTCATAGCATTTACATATTTAATAAATAATAATAATCTTAGCTTATAAAATAATAAAAGGCTAAACATTAATAATCACATATTAAAAACGATGCTGTATTAAAATACTGATCATTATTTATTTTTGTTTTAATTTGTAGTGACCACTGCCCTGATGTGCTATGACTGTAATAGCGAGTTCGATCCCCGCTGCGGCGATCCCTTCGAGCCGTACTCCATTGGCGAGGTGAACTGCAGCAAACAGGAGCCACTGGAGCACCTCAAGGACAAGTACAAGCCCACCCTGTGCCGCAAAACCGTTCAAAAGAGTGAGTTAATGCCAGGCAGAGTCAGAAGGCCACATGATTACCATAACTTCCTCGTTCACAGTTTACGGGAAAACCCGGATCGTACGTGGCTGCGGATATATTCCTGACGAACACACCGACACCAAGTGCATTAGGCGCTCGGGAACCCACGACGTGGCCGCCATCTACTGCGCCTGCACCAAGGATCTGTGCAACGGAGCCAACTCGCCTGTTGCCAAGTGGATGATGCTGCCCCTCGTCTTCGCCGCCGGATTGGCGCTCCTGCTGAACTCGAGGCACACAATACGATTCCAGAGCTCGTAAATTGAGCTCAATTTAGCATTTCACTGAGTTCACTTGTACTTATCGTTTTCGACTTTGGTTTTAGTGGTTTTTCGATTCAGATCTGCAGTTAATGCTCATTTAGTTGCATAATTTACTTTAATGTTTAATTTAATGTGTTCGTAAGCGTAATAACAATAAGAATAATACGGAAATTATCTTACCTTATGGGTTTACATACATTACATAGAGGACAAGAGGACTTAAATAAGAAGGTAAACATACTTTTGGGGCAGTTATCAATCCACATTTTTTTAAGCCTTTGTTCGAAAGTTATTTTAAAATACAGAAAAACTGCCAGTAAATGTCTCCGCCTAATAAATTTCAACCTTTGACCCCTGAAACTAAATAAATAAACTATGCAGTACGCTGACCTATAACATAACTCCAAATAATATAAATTCGATTTTTATTTTGTTGCACTTTAACCATCTTTGCCTGAGATCAGAATAATCTCTATTTATTTTCTCTATCTGTTGTTTTGCCAATAATTTTATTGACCCAACACCTTTTATATATTCAATTTATAAATGGGGTGCGGCAAACCAAAAAGACAAGCCTAAATAAAATCTGTTAGTGCAAATTCTAAAGATAGAAAATATCTATCTTTACGGCAAAGAATTTGTAATAATTAGGATTCGGAACTTTTGCTGAGGCCAATAGCCCCAAAACGCAATACTTTATCAGTTTTTATGTAATTTAAACCAATAATTGGGGAAGGAAAACCTCAAAGGCAAACCCTTCATGAGCCTATTAGTGCAAACACTGAAGATGAACATCTATCTTTATGGCAAAGAATTTGCAACAATTAGGACTTTCATTAGTAACCAAAAAATTTCCATAGAGATCAAATTAATAAAATCGTATACAAATTTATACGAAGTAAATAAATGAATAAAAACTATCTGCAAAACAAAAGAGAATCCATTAAATATTGAATACAAAAAGAGGAAAATAAATTTTGTCCATTATAAGCTTCATGCGAACTAAACCAATGCATACTACACAGCCATGATCCCGATGCCATTTCCAAGGGATTTCTAAAGAAGTCTGGAGGAATTGAAATTGCTAACATGGCTGGTATAAATAAATCTTCCTAATACTTTAGACGGAAAGTGCATAAATATTTTGATTTGTGTCCCCAATACAAACACAAACCAAGGTACAGTCAACACAAAGCATGGCAAGATATTAATAAACAGAAACACTAGCCAACATATAAAAACCAGTTACAAACACATCATTTTGTGTAGAAAAAAAAAAGATATATATACATACATGAAAATTTGCATAAATTATAAAACATTATATTTGTTTAGTTATATATTATTAAGAATTATATGGAAAGATAATAAGATAAAAACAGAAAGGAAGCGTGAGCATATGTAGATAAACCTAACTAATTTTAATTTATAAAATGAATAACAAACACTAGCCGTTGTATCGTAATAGAAAAACAAAATAAGAAAAAAAAACTAATAAAGCGAAAATGAAAAATTTGAAATCCAGAATCCATTAAATAGTCAGAGTACTTAAGATTCCATAACAAAACCTCTTATGATGGATAATTATTTCAACTTTATTGTTTTCATTGGAAAGTTTGTTTTAAGAAAGTATCGCAAAAATATTGCAACTCAAGCACATCCAAACAAAAACAAAATAAACACAAGATCACGCAAACTTTATAAACTGAACAACAAGTATTTAAATAATAAAGAAGATATTAAAACACACCTTTCTGCGTGAATCATATCATTGAGCTTTGCTTCGTAAGTGACGGGAAGACATTCTAAATTAAAAACTGAACTAAAACAAAATGCAAACACAACGTACATACATATATTTGAAATTATTAAATACAATTGAAATATAATAATGAAAAAGTATGAATAATGACATGTTTTCAAGCAAGTTACTGAAACTTAAAAAAAAATTATCGAATAAGTAAACAATCTACAGAAAGAAGAACACAACACACCAAACAAACAAGCTTTTGTCTGCGCTGGCTGAGTCGAATATTCTATAACCATAAATATAATACCTAAATATATATCAATATTATTTCTTTTCGTTTTTATATCACAGCAACACGAATAGCAACAAAATGGGAAACTTATTTATTATGCAAGAAAACTATAACAGAAAAAAAACACAGCAGAAATAATAGAATAAAATTCATGGGCAGAATAAAGATGCGAAAAACAAGAAAGAAAATAATGTGAACTTGTTAATTTTTAGCATTTAAGTCTGTAAAGCTCCGCTTGTAGATGAAAAATCAATAAATAAACTAAATAAAATGGTAAATTCAATAAATGGAGACAAAAAGCTATAAGCTTTCACAACAAAAAACCAAACGAGACTTAATAGAACGATACAATTTTTTCAGCATTTTAAAAAGTAAGGGTGACAAAGGGTGGAAAGTTTTCCCAAAGTTTGTCTTGGAACTATAAATTGCTGAATTCCCGTAACCCTGCGAGGAAATATGAATTGTAAAGATTAGTTTTAGACCATATTCATGAGGCTAACATTAACTAGCAGTTAATGACTCTGGATGATCACTTCATTTTTGGTAAGACCTCTCCTGTTTATACCGCCTTAAGATTATGTATTATTTTAAGTCAAAGTCATTTATTTGAAATATGATTAGAAAGTAGTTATTTTTAGGCAAGGGCACTGGGGAAAACTGCATTCTTGGCAATGGGCTGGTTGGACCTGCGCACGATCCTAATGTAGCCGTCCTCGCCCCACGTTTCGCCAAACGAGTTCAGGCACCGCCAGTAGTCCAGATTGGAGTCCACGTCGTGGTCGTAGCCCACGACCACCAGGAACTGCGAGCTCTTCGCATTGGTGAGGGCCCTCGTCTCCTGCACATACACTCCACTGGAGTACTGCATGAAGCCAAAGGTGGCCGGATTGTACTCCACTATCACGGGGAATCCGTTCGACACGTAGCGCATGATGGCGTCATCATCGTTATCGGCCACCGACACATAGCTGGCCAACTTAACGCCCACGGCCACCGAGGAGGGTGGCTGGCACATGCCCGGAGTTTTCAGGCTATTGTCGTTGACGTAATCCACCTCCGGATACAGATAGGACTCGGCCATCTGGGTGAGGTAGTTGAGGGCGGCCAGGGGAGACTGAGTGCTGCATCCGGAGGCCATTCCCGCACAGTCGATTAGTTCTTGGGCGGACAGCGAGGCGGGCGTCGGATTGGCCGTCTGCACGGCATTCAGAATCTCCACGGCCTTGGCGGTGGCATAGGCCCAACTACTGCTGCAATTAACGCCCTGATCCTCCACCGCTACGGTTAGTCCAAAGTCCTTGATGATGTCGTAGGCTGTGGCTGTCATCTGGGTGGTGGGTGGATCACTGGCCGCCGCAGTCACCGTGGAAACGGCCTTGGGAAGCAGGGCCGCGAATTGGATCAGCCGGATGTCCGAAAACTGATTGACCTCCTCGCGAAAACTGCTGCGATTCCGATCCGCTTGGGCATTGTGCTGAGCCACCTGGTTGCGGTTGTAGATGAAGTAATAGTTGGCAAAGTTGCTGGCCGAAGTTGACGCATACGTCTTGTTGAAGGTTTTCTGAAAACAATTCATTTTTTTAGGACTTGTATCAATATAAAGTTTAAAGGTTAGTTATATAAAATATGAAATCAAAAATAATCTTTCTGACAAATGACTCTTTTAGAAGTCACTTTTCAATCGTAAGTTCTTGGTATAAAACTCAATAGAAGGTGTGGTTATCATTATAAGTTGCATATTGGTTACCAGTTTCTGACTACAGCTGAAAACTAAGCTTATATGTATGTATTCGTGACCAAAGGGCAGAGATTTAGGTGCCTTCTGACCTATTATTCTGCTGCCAAACTCACCACGTAAGATTGGAAATCCTTTAAATCCTGGCCATGATTAAAGGCCCATCCAGTGCCGGCGGCCAGCAGAAGACAGCAAAACAGCAACTTGGACATGACGAAACCCGAAAAGCGAACCAACTGATGCCCATAGAACCATGGAACGGTCTTTTATAGGCACTGGCAACTCTCCTTCTGATTGCAAAAGCAAATAGAAGTTTACCATATATGTAGTGCCATACAGACTTACATACTTTCGCAAGAAAAGTGCAAATAGATTTCTATGGGGCCTTGAATTCGCACTTGGCCTACAGCACTTACGAGCGTAGTATAAAGTAGTATCCATATTCCGGGCGGGTCTTCTCGATAAGCCCCCGTTAGAAGAAAAAGTCGGGGTGCGCTTTGTTTGCCCAATAAACTTGTCAAATGCGCTCTGGTTCGTATCGTTGCCATTCGCTGGGTTCTCGTATCTCTGTTAATTCGAAATCCCCACTGGCCCAGTTCAGATATACCCATACCCAAACCCATACCCATAGACATAGGCATCGTAAAAGCGACTCTAGTTCCAACAACTTGTCGTCACTTGTCTAGGTTTTGTCTTCTCCGCAAGCATGATTAATCACATTCATACTTTTATGGCGCCCATAAATATTGCAACACCGTTGGCAGGTCCGTTTGAAGTCTTGGCTAAATTGTTGTAAGCCAAGTGTTCAACGAGTTGCTTGGCAATTCCAATCGCGGAAGAATAAGCCCTTTAGCAGTCAATGAACTCTTTAGCAGCCAAACTAAAATATTTGGTTAATAAACGACCACAAATTTGTTAATTGAAATGCAAATAAAATTGACTAGGTTTTCTGTATCAGCTTGCTAACAAATGACTAATCTGTAAAAGTAATACGTACTGAAATGTTGATATACATATATACAAACATTTTTAATTTAATTTTTAAATATTTTTTATTCTGGTAATATAAACATTATAATTTAGACAGTGTCTTACTTCTTATCGCTTTTAATCAAATATGTATATTTTCGGGAATTAGTTTCCGAAGACATATTTTTAAGTCTTAAACAATTATTTAGTAGGCACTAATGGCACATAATAATATTTAATTACCTTAAAAATATAAATATTTTGTAAGCTTTCCTAGTTATGTGGCTATTGGCTTGTTATAGGCTGATAAGTAATTTATTAATCACTTTTTCATTTGTTTGCATATTATATTGGCTATTTGCTTGTTATAGGCTGAAAAGTAATTTATTAATCACTTTTTCACTTGTTTGCATATTATACACATGTTTGACCCTTTTTTTTGGTTTCAAATGAGTCAATATACATATGTCGTTAAAGCCACCTTCATATTGACCAATAAACAATTTCTAAACATGCATACAATTAAGATAGTTATGGACCCGTAAACCAGAAAGCCAGTCGGTTTTCGGTCTTCGAATAGTTTCAAACTGGGGCCCATCTGGTTTGGGCTGGATGTCCCACGGGCCAGGTTCGAACCATGGACCCTATAAAACCGAGGTGTGCGTCTCGAGCTCCGCTTATAACCTCGCCGGTCTTCGAGTCTGCGCCATCTTCGCTCAGATCTGTGAACGCGGACGATATTGCTCCCAGATATTCATAAAAGGTGATTAAGCCGGGCTTTCAACATATTGTGTGTCGTGTGTGTTTCTTCGGCTATTGTGTTCCATTTCGAGGAGCATCATTACAGGCAAATCAAAAATCGGACAAGAGAACTGCAATTGCAATTAAAGCTTACATTTGAATAGAAATCGGGACTTACGAGAGGAATCCATCGCCTTTCACCAGGCCCAGCATGTGATCAGTATTTATGCCATCGAAAGTGAAATTTTGGTCGGCGGTTGCCTAATCTAGATTTGATTTATTTGGCCCTCGGCCAGGCCAATCTTGGCGAAAGAAATAAAAGGAGAGGCCAATACACAATATGATAACCATTTCTTACTTCGAGCGAATCAAAAGCTTACACACACGTAATTATGTTAATCATATGCAAATGAACCTATTCATGCAATAATTATGCATATGTCATCAGTGATCGAACTAACCGGAAAAGTGAATTTCAAATGCTCTGATAATTTCAAAAGTCCACGAGCTAAGCCAAATAAGCATTGAATGAAGATGAGAAATTGAGACATGGTTAAAGCCAGTGTGTGATTAATTACCAATTAAGGCGATTGCGGGCAGAAGTGGATAGTCTGCGGGATAGGAAATTAAAATAATATGTTGTTTTTTCGCTAAACCGATCATTAAGTTGTTTTCATCTAAGAAACCATTAGCTTTTAACCACAAGGTGGTTAACACAAATCAAATTTACTGATTTGTTTGGGATATATGGTTTGAAAATTGATCGTTGAAATATTGTTAGTTATTTTTTTAGTTTTGTGAGAAACTGATGTCGTTTAAACCATTTAAAATCGTACGACTCGTAAAGCTACCATGGAAAAAATAAAAAAAAAACAAAAAAAAAATTCAATGTTTTTAAAAATATACGAAAGTAAATCATAATTTTAATGTTTTCAAGAATATTTAATTTTTGCAAAAGCTGCAAGGGTATATGAACTTCGGCTTGTCGAAGCTTGCTTCCTTTCTTGTGTTCAGTATATTAATAAACCTTGTTATCAAATTACGACCTGAAAAAGTATTTATAGACATTTGAGGCATATTTACCTTCTCCACACTGTATAATTTGGAAGTTTCATAATCGGCTTTATTAGCTAATAAATTAATATTAATAGCTGAATTTCCCTAAATAGTTGCAGATGTATTAGATATTCCACGAGACCCACGACATGTTAGTTCGGTTCGAGGTGAATGGACCGGCCAAATTTGCCTGCGATTAACGTTGACAGATGTGGCGGAAAAGAGGTCGAGGGACGGGGTTACTGTGTATTGGCCAAGTGGTTACTTAACACTTTCCACTCTTTCTGTTTTCCCCCGTTCCAGATGCGGATCGTGTGCTCATCGATGTGGCTGCAGTTGGCTCTGGGACTGGCCCTCCTGGGTGCTGCGTCATTGCAGCAGCTGCAGTCGTTCCCCAAGCTCTGCGATGTCCAAAACTTCGACGACTTCCTCCGCCAGACGGGAAAGGTGTACTCGGACGAGGAGCGCGTCTATCGCGAGAGTATCTTTGCGGCCAAAATGTCGCTGATCACGCTGAGCAACAAGAATGCGGACAGCGGCATATCCGGATTCCGGCTTAGTGTCAATCCGCTGGCCGACATGACCAAGAAGGAAATCGCCACCTTGCTGGGCTCAAAGGTCTCCGAATTTGGCGAGTGAGTAGCACCTGATTTTCTGACGCAATTCCCACCCAGCATAAGCATAAGGGCATGTTTCTCAAGCATAAAAGAAATTATCACCTGTCTCATAAATTTTAAACGGGTTTTGAATCTTCTGGTGGACGCTAGCCAAATGGACGCTAGTAAATTTACGTGATCGGTATTTCTTTGTGAATGCCATACTAGTTCAGCAAAATTCCCAAAAAAATCTCATTCATAGGTTTGCCATTTCCGAATAAAATTATTTCGGCGCAAGTAAACAAAAGCCATTCAATATAATGTAAATGTATATTTATTACTCACAATATATGAACGAGAGCCGTTTACCAAATCTTTATTATCTACTTGTTCAGATAATAAAATCATTATATATTTCACAATTTGTCACTGGAAACTATTTATTACTCATTAACATTTAATAAATACCTACCCATATTATTATGAAGTACTTTTTTTCAAAGCTCCAATTTCAGTGTTACACATTTTTTTTTTACCTTGGAGATGTTCATGACTAATAACCTATATGTCTGTATCTATACATATAAATATTGTATTTATATATATGGATATAAAGTATTGTTTGTATTTTATACAAGTTAATCTTTAATGTACCGACATATAAGGCTAAAATTTTCTTCAATTAGTTTTCTTGCATTACAAAATGAATAATACTTTATTTTATAAATTGTGTTTAACAAAGGTTGATTAATTTAACCTTAATTAACACCCACATTCATCTTAAATGTTTTGCCTTGCAGGAGATACACTAATGGCCACATAAACTTTGTGACTGCCAAGAGTCCGGCAAGTGCCAAACTTCCGGAGAAGTTCGACTGGCGTGAGAAGGGAGGAGTGACGCCGCCCGGATTCCAGGGCGTGGGATGCGGTGCCTGCTGGTCGTTCGCCACCACGGGTGCTTTGGAGGGTCACCTCTTCCGGCGCACGGGAGTGCTGGTTTCGCTGTCGCAACAGGATCTGGTGGACTGTGCCGATGACTACGGCAACATGGGATGCGATGGTGGCTTCCAGGAGTACGGTTTCGAGTATATCCGCGATCACGGCGTCACGCTGGCCAACAAATATCCGTACACGCAGACGGAGATGCAGTGCCGCCAAAACGAGACGGCCGGTCGTCCGCCCAGGGAGAGTCTGGTGAAGATCCGTGACTATGCCACGATCACGCCGGGAGACGAGGAGAAGATGAAGGAGGTGATCGCCACACTGGGCCCACTGGCCTGCTCCATGAACGCGGACACCATTGCCTTCGAGCAGTACAGCGGCGGGATCTACGAGGACGAGGAGTGCAACCAGGGCGAGGTGAACCACTCGGTCACGGTGGTGGGCTACGGCTCGGAGAACGGACGCGACTACTGGATCATCAAGAACTCGTACTCCCAGAATTGGGGCGAGGGTGGCTTTATGCGCCTTCCACGTAATGCCGGCGGATTCTGCGGCATCGCCAGCGAGTGCAGTTACCCGATTCTGTAGACAGCCAACTATGAAACTCAATTAGATAGGTAGTATAGCCAATTACAAACCACGAATTTATAACTTTGTTACTGTAGTATGTAGCGTTGCGGTGACGTCATGCTGTCCATGAGTCACCCGACTATTCAATAAAAAAGTGCCTTATCAGTGTAAATTTAAGTTGAGCTTTTCCCTACAACTGTGTAATGGAAATGGATCGCATAGAAACTTTACAAGACGTGAGTATCACACGTTTCAGCTTTTGAACTCTTTTAATTGTAAGTTACTAGTTACTGAATGAATGAAAGAGTTACTGAAAGAGAAAGTTTAGGATACCCTTGCAAATTAAACCTGATAATGGACATATAACATTTGAGTAAAACAACACCAGATCAAATGTCGGCTTAAACTTAATATTAAACTTTTTAAAGGAAACCTCTAAAAGAGTATGCAAAAAACACTTGAAGATCTCTTGTGAACTCATGCAATAAATAAACACAGGTAATTGCATCCGCTTCTCTTAACTGATTTATACCAAAGAGAAAAGAGAACGTTAATTCAAGGTATTCGAATCAATGGTTCTCGCGAGAGGTATTCCGCTCTTTTTCTCACAATGCAACTGACTTTATACATATAATTAGCAGTGCTCGCAGTTTGCAGTTCAGTACGAGAAAAGTTTTTGAGATGGGATCAGCTCTTCTTACCGCTGGCGTCCCACTGTTCCTGATTTTGATGGGCGTGGCTTGGGGCCTACCCACAATAACACCCAAAATCGAATCGGGAACAGAGGCGAATAGCACCATTGAAACCACAGCTCCACCAGGCGGATCAGAAGTGGAGAGTCAATGCCACTCTGCCTGGCAAAAGTTCTTGGTAAGCTCTGATTACCCATTTCCAAGAAATGATCGCTGAGAAAAATCTTTTGCTTATAGACCGATTTCGATGTGCACTACGAGAGCGAATCCGAAGCGGAGAAACGTCGGAATATCTTCTGCGAGAATTGGCGAAAGATTCAGAATCACAACTTACTATATGAATCGGGAGTCGAGTCCTTCAAGAAGGGTATAAATCAGTTTAGTGATCTTACCTTTGAAGAGTGGAAGCAAAAACAACGACCTCGTCTCAAGGTTGAAACCACTACAGAAGCATCTAAGGACGAGATAAATAAAACTAAATGCCAGGCTGCCTGGGAAAAATTTTTGGTGAGATAAGGTAAGGAGTACAATCAAATTTCGAATTTAACTATTGGCATTATAGACTGACTTTGGAGTAAAATACAAAGATCATGCTGAAACCGAGAAACGTCATAGTATATTCTGCGATAATTGGCGAAAGATTCAAGATCACAACTTACAATACGAATCGGGAGTAGAGTCTTTCAAAAAGGGTATAAATCAGTTTAGTGATCTAACCTTTGAAGAGTGGAAAGAGAAACAAAGACCTATTGTTGCCTCAGAGTTTTCTAAGCTTGAGAACACTACCAAAGATGATCCGGACACGGTTAAATGTCAGGCTGCCTGGAATAAGTTTTTGGTAAGATATGATAGAAACTATTAAGAATGTTTATATATGTTTAATGAATTGAATTACAGATTGACTTTGAAGCAAAATATAAAGATCAAGCTGAAACCGAGAAACGTCGCAAAATTTTCTGCGATAATTGGCAAAAGATTCAGAAACACAACTTACAATACGAATCGGGTATCGAGTCTTTCCAGATGGGTATAAATCAGTTTAGTGATCTTAACTTTGAAGAGTGGAAGATAAAACAACGACCTAGCATTAACCCAGAGCTTACAAAGGACAAGATGCAAACGAACCAAAGAATTTAACTGGATGGAGAATTTTTAAAAGTGGAATAAACTATTTTAGTGTAAGGGGAAACAAAAATATTTTCATAAACATTCCAGTCTCTTATTAAACCTTCCCCATATTTATAAATATACGTGTATACCAGGCAAAAAAACACTTCACAGGTTTTCAGGTTGGTTTTTAAAAATATTTATTTATATTTATTTGAGGGATTTCCAGTTGAGAATCTTGTTTGAGGAGTTTCTCTGTTACAATAGTGTTCGCAAATGTTCAAGCCGATTTCGGGCTGGGTTCGCTATTCTTTTCGATCTTAATTTTTGAAATGAGTAAATTTGGTTTTTTTGTTTCTTTGCCTACCATTTTAACGCACACAAATTCTACATGATTAATTTATACTTGTATATTTGCTGAGATCCCTATCTCCTTGTTGCATTTAACAGGGCGTTTCGTATTACACGTACAATCCGTAAATATATATAATATATATGTATATAGTTTTTAATTTAACAAATACATTATTAGGTTATCGCAAGTTGCTGCACTAAGTGAACATTTATGTAATCAATATGTTTACATTCATTGATATTTGAGTATATTAAAGGGGCCATTACACCCAGTTTTTCTATTTTTTTTTTTGCTTGGGTGAAACCGCCACTTTACAATGCATTATGGGTATTGTACACATAAGTATAATTCCATTTGTTTTGGGTATTTATAGTTACTATACAAATCGTTGGTAGGGAGGGGCAACAACAAGCCTTGAACAAGCCCTATACCATTTTCAGCGTGTTTGCGAACCATAACTAGAAATATTCCTTCAGTAACATCCCGAAAACTTATTCCCGCAAAACAATTCTACGGTTTAAAGATCGCTTACTGTTTAGAATTTACATATTGTTTGGCGTTTATTACTGTGGCTGCTTTTGCTGCTCATCTAACCAAGCTTCGACCCTGGCCGCAGGTCTATTTGTGGGTCTATTTGTGTCCAGATGGATATTGGATATGTGGTTTGAGCAGTGGTTCGTCTGTCCTTCCGGTGGCCAAATTGCTTCGTTTTTTTTTTTCAACTATGTGTTTGCACTGAACGTGTGTAAATTTATCTAAAAAACATCATGCTTCCCTCCGTCGCAAGCTAATGCCATCGTTAACAGGCTGATCGGAGGACCAGGGTCTGGCACAAATCAAAATCATATAATACGTACACGTAAACACTAAATAACTAACAACGTTGAAAGCGCGGGTAGCATGTATACATATGGGATATATAACTAGTTGTATATCTGTATAATATATTGCAACAAATGCCCACTACAAAAACTGCACACTCAACTTAAAGGGCTAGCTTAAGAGTTACTCGAACTACTCCGACATATCGCCTGATATATCTTTTTGGTAGCTTAAGCCAGTGCGTCGATCTGGATTGGTTTCTGTTGGTTTCTGTTGGTTTCTGCTGCTGCTGCTGCTTGCTTGTATCAACTGTTATTGTTTCGGTTACTCTTGTTATATGTTCGACATCGGTGTATATGGTAAAGCCAACTTGTGAGTTGCTGTTTAGTCGTGTAAAACCTTTGCCAGTTGCACTACAAAATCGAAGTGAGTGTGTGCGGACAACGGAGGAGCAATTGTGTGGAAATTCCTTAGTAGGTGTGCTGCGCGTACTCCATACCTGCGGCCTGCTGCTGATCCATGCCTCCTGCGAAAATGTACCAGAATAAATAGATGATTTGCGGGAGAAAATCTATTAACTAGTCAATTATGGAAACAAATTTTCTACATAATAGAAGAACTCCTGAGACATATTGCAATGTTTTGTTTGTTGTATAGAGCAATTGAGAATATAGTCGTGATATAAATAGTTATTTAGATATATCAATATTTAAATCATAAATTTTTGAATTATCGTAGTGCTGATTGTATTTGGCTTAATGGAAATACTTTACTGTAGGTAGAGAATTTCTAGTTGTGTTCCAAACTTTATATACAAATATATCAGTTAATTTAGTTAAATCGATATATCAATAGTTAAATTACACATTTATTAATTAGTGCTGATATTTTGTTATCTATGTACATGGAAATACTTTTCTGTATAGAATTTCTAGCTATGGAAGTTAACTTAAGTTCCTAACACTAATTACTAATATATCATATGATGTTACAGTCAAATTTCATTGAGTTGAATTTCCCTCGACATATTTTAAAGAAATTATTTCTTAATGCCATCTTACTCCAAATTTTATAGAATCGATCAGAAATCGTTACGAAATTTGGACTGTCAAACCTGAAATGGCCAAACTTTTTTTTTTGTCGTTTTAGCTAAGCCATTGCGTCTTTATAAAAGTTTTAACTCTGACATGATATTGATCCTTTAAATTTTTCCGAAACGAATATTCGACTCAATGTCAAAACCTAAAATGACATTGAGAAATCGGCTCTAAGAAAGTGTTAATAAAGAGATAATCTAATCTATAAATTATTTTTGGTAAAACTTTTGAGTTACGGACTCTTACTTCTTTAGGTAAATAAGGGTAGATGATTCCTAACCGATAACACTCTTGACACCTATTTACAAATTTATTAGACCTATGGACTTACCCTGCTGGGGCTGGCTAAACGGTGAGGCGCTGTACTGGTCGTTGTCGTTGTCCATCGAATAGCCGTAGGCCTGCTGGTGCACCACGTTGGCCGGGTCCGTTTCGAAGGCTGAGGTGAACTCATCGCCGGCGCCGATCAGGAAACGCTTGTAGGCCATCAGGGCGCAGAGGGCCTGAAGAAAGGAATGCCTTGATGGAAGGACACTAGGATAGAAGTCTTTGGCTACCCACCCAGCTGACAATCGAGAAGAGGCAGAACCAAATGGCGGTCTTCATGCTGCCAGCTCCGATTCCCAGGGGCGGCGGGGGTGAGGAGCTCCATTGGGACCACAAGTAGAGGAAGGCCACAAAATACATGAAGGTCCAGCCAGCTGCAATAAAATATTGCCATCAGAACTGGGACGTAAGCTACGGAACGGAATGCACTGCAGCTTACCAGAAAAACCCATGTCGGCCATGACGTAACGCTTTCTGCTCTTCACCGACGACATCCGCTCGAACAGGAACTCGCCGGCCATGAAACCCATGGAGGCCAGGAACCCAAAGACGCCCACCATGTTGCCATACTTGCAGGCCATGCCGTCACCATTATAAAGGCAATACTCCTTGCCGTCCTTCTCCGTCCAGCCCTCCGAGGATATGCAGCCAAAGACCACGACCGAAAAGAGCTGCAAAATCGAGAAAATTCCTTATGAGTTGGGATATACATTAAGATTTAATGTCGCTCTTATACGAACGCCGTACTGCCAAAGAATAAGCAGTTTTGTATGTGATGTTAAAAACCCCTACTTAGTGGTTACTTTTTAGCCCCGTAGTTGATTTAAAATCACCTTAAAATGTACCTAAAAGTATGCAGTAAAATGTATTTTTTTGTATCACGCTTCACTAAAATGCAATTTATAAATAAATTCTATAAATTTTGAAATTTATTTTAATATCCAATCATAAATTTGTAAGGGTCTTCTAAAGTATATTCTAAATTAAGATACTTTTTAAAATATATATGAACATATTATAAACACATCTTAGTTCTCTCTTTAATTTTTTTACATTTTCTTATATAGAAGGTAGCCAATTATAGTAGTAAGTAGGACATTTTTATACAATCCATAATCTGTTAAGTAAAAAGTAAGTAAGTATAGTAATATTTTATGATCGTAGAACTCCCACTCCACATTCGATTTCCTTAAGCAGGTGCAACAAACCAAAAGTTCAAGTACACAGACAACGAGGCAGACACGTACTTATGCTGTGACCCAATTTGCGGAATGAAGGCCAAGTTTAGTTTGTTTGGCCAGGAGAGCGGGAGCAAATCTTCAATCGCAAGACAGAGTCCTTGGTCAACAGAGTGGGAAAATATTACGTATACACAAATGGAAGGCAAACAGGCGCCAAACCTCGGCTATCGCATTTTTCCCACTTCGACCGCAATGGTGACGCACATCAAGACGGTGGTAAAATAAAGACCTAAGCCTGGTGGCCAATTGCCAGGACACTTTCCGACATTCAATAATAAAGCATTCATGGGCGTGAGAGTCTATATGGCCGTTCCACAGCTGAGCACTACTACTACTCCCCCCTTTGCGGGGCAAATCCCATGCGCCCCTGCGCAACTGGGGTAAACAAATCGGACAAAGCGCTACTCGGATATTTGAGTGGCACAGCGTTTATGTGGCGACATTCATGGTTTACTTATATTGCAACACACATATACGGTTTATGCAACATTTACGAGCACACACCATCGACAGGGAAAATGGCACATAAAGGTCACATTTACGGCCTCAATTTAAAAACAATATTAACTAGATTAAATTGGTAATTCCACAAAAATTAGGTTTATTATAAGAAAAAAAGAGTAAAAATCGCACCCTTATTCCTTAAAAAAATTATAATTTCTCTCCTCAAAGATTTCTAATAAATAAATTGCCAAGAGTTCTAGGTATAATTTAAGTGTTTCATTTAAAAATCTCCAAAAACATAACTAACTGAACTGCGAAAAAATAATACCTTTAAATAACTAAGCTTTAACTTTATTTTTGGAATGCTTTAACAATTAAGTGACTTGTCTCTAAAGTTTAGATTTCTCTTAAATTACGAAAACATTGCTTTATTCTATGAAGTACTATTATTGAGTTAAGAATATAAAAACACATCAATTGACTCTTTAAACTGAACTGCAGACGAAGAAATAATACCTCAAATTGAACTTAGCTTAAACATTATTTTTATAAAGTTATGAAAATCAAGTTATTTGTGATTTTGTGTGTTCTATGTTTCTAAAGTTTTGATTTTTTTGATTTTAAAAGTAAGCCTAATAAAGTTTTAAAGAAATATTCCATTGAGAACATTTTTTTATAACATTTTTGAATGCGGACATAGTTTACCTAATACTTTATTATGATTTTAGACAAATCTATATTTAATATAAAAGTTTAAAGTGTTATTTGATTCAGTTATAAGTTATGCAGTATAAAAGCTCTGTAAGAAATAAATGCTTTTAAAAAAGTTAAAAATAAATTGGAAAATAGAAAATTGTCTAAAATATCTAATCAAATATTATATAATATCGAGAATTCAGATGAGCTAGTGCTCAAGGTTTGTTGACCGTATATAAACGGTCTGTAGGGACTTGTTTCCTCCATTACTTCATCAACAATGCGTGTGCGTCGTCGTGTAAACAGTGTGACAATCGAGTCGTGTGAGTGGGGTGTGTGTGTGTCTTAAATCCCAGCCACTCCGATTCCGATTCCGATTTAGAATCCCCGAGCGGAGCTTGTGGCAACTCACCCAGCAGAGGGCCCTGATGACCACTTGGGGCTTCATGGCGAACGTGAGCGGGTCGAAGGCGCCGCCCGCCTTCCCGCCCCCGTAGGCGCCCCCATTATTGATGCTGAGTATTTGGTTGAGCATGTCCATGATGATGGGTGTAGATGGGTCTTCTGTCTCGGGTCCGTCGCGGTTCCACTGGCGATTTCACTGGCGATTTCACTTGCGACTATTGTGAAAAATCGAACGCTTCTTGGGTCCGTGGGGCCAAGGGCAATGTGGGGGCGGCTCACCCACAACTGTGTGTGTATATACCGTGCGTGGTGTGGGTGGTGAGTGCGCTCGAGTGCTTCTGCTTTCGCGCAATTATGGATTACGGAACGCAAAGAAAAATATATGTGTGTATATACGCCAATCCCTTTTTCGAATTCACTTTCTGTTAACCGCGCGCTCTCGCAATTCAATCCACATTCACTGTTCTCGCTCGCTTGCGTTAATCAATGCATAATTGATGAACAATTTTCAAGGGCCTGATTTTCACTTTTACTTTTTGCCAGCTTCGCTCTCAACGGAATTTCGACTGTCAGCGCGCAGGACTCTTGCCAAATACTATATATATGTCGAGGTGGTTGGAATCGAGCAGCGTTATCTTACGGCTCTGCTAGACGCACGTTTACAGCGTGCTGTTAGCCGCAGCCAGTGTGGCCATCCTTGATTTTTAATTCAAATTCTGATTTCGCTTAGGCAGTGTACAATAAATTGTTCGTTTTCAGGAGGATATTTGCATTTGGAATTGATACTATGGCTGCGTTCAAGAAATCCAACATCTGCTGGTGTAACTTTCAACCAAATTCCTATAGAGATATAGAGAAGAAGATGCAAAATTATTGTCCATTAAATGCCAAAAATGAATTCAAGCTTAGCTGTCCCCAGGTGAAAATTAAAGTCCTTACAACTTTTACTATTAATATAACTACAAAAAATTGGTATAAACACATATTCCAGAACAATTGGTTAAATATAAAATAGGGACAAATATACATACCTTTGGAATAAAAGATGCAGGAAATAAGTAACCAAAATATATTGCATTATTATTAATTATAAACATAAAACATATTACTAAACATGTGGTTTAATACAAAAACTAAAACAGAAAATAGGTTACCAAAATATATTAAATTATTATGTATTATTTTATATCTAAATATTAGTTTTGACTTAGCTAATTTGACACTTATCCGAATGTTATAGAGCTCCCGAGATCTACTGGTTGAAATCAAACCGAAGAAGCCTCAAGTTGGTGATAAAGACGTCTACGAAATTTGCTGTAGGCGCAGAAAAAGAAAGCCAGAGTATATTCAAGAGGTGAAAAAGTTTACCGGAAGAGAAAGTCGATCTATTCTGCCTGAATTAAAATCCCATTCGTACGACAAACCTACATTTATAGCCCAAAGAAGTCTGACTTTCGCCCAAGGACCAGCAATAGTTAAAAGAGAAAAACCCAAATGGCACGAGGAGCACGAAAAAAAGCTTAAAGAAAGAGCCAATGAGCAGGATTTGGAAAAGCAGAAAATCCTTATGCAGAATCTTACCAATAAAAGAGAAGGGCTGGACAAGTTTCAGCGTCACTTTGACTTTAACAAAACTCAGAACGTTCGTCGATACCTGCAATGGGAACAGAAGAAAGATAGTCCTTATCGTACCTCAACCGGAAATACTTCAAGAACAGTGAAACCGGAAAATATAAAGGATCAGAAACTTGATAAGCAGAATATGATGAAGAAACGTGAAGGGCTGGACCAGTTTCAGCGTCTATTTGACTTTAACAAAGCTCAGAACGTTCGTCGAAACCTGCAATGGAAACAGAAGAAAGATAGTCCTTATCAAACCTCTTCAAAAACAGTGAAACCGGAAGCGAAATTGGAAAAGGAAAATGAGCAGAAACTTGATAAGCAGAATATGATCAAGAAACGTGAAGGTCTGGACAAGTTTCAGCGTCTATTTGACTTTAACAAAGCTCAGTACGTTCGTCGAAATCTGCAATGGGAACAGCAGAAGGTTAGTCCTTATTATAACACTTCGGAAGCAGTAAAGACTAAGTCTGCTCACGAAAAGAAACAACCAAAATCATCTTCCGTAATTTCGGAGCGAGCCTTTGTTAAACAACTTACCAACCAACCACGACCTAGCAAGAATCGAGAAAAGATTAGATTTCAAACGACATTAGACAAATACCAGGAAAGCAAAAAGAAGCAGGGAAGTACAGATCTATTTGGCCCAATGCTTGATGAAGCAGCTGCTGTGGTGCCAGAAGTGCAGTCTACTTTAGGGAGCAGACACAACCTGGAAGTGCCCACGTTTGACCCTCGTAAAAGTTTAAATAGCAATTCTTTTGAAGGGAGTCAAAAATCAGACCAACACACACACCCATTTGATAAAATGCTTAAGGGTAACGCCGCCAAAGTACCCGAGCTTCAGCCACTACTAAAATCAAATAATCGTCCTAAGGTTTTAACATCAAAGTTTAATAGCAATGCCTTTGAGCAGAGTCAAAAATCAGACCAACACACACACCAATTTGATAAAATGCTTAAGGGTAACGCCGCCAAAGTACCCGAGCTTCAGCCACTACTAAAATCAAATAATCGTCCTAAGGTTTTAACACCAAAGTTTAATAGCAATGCCCTTGAGCAGAGCCAAATACCAGTCCAACATACAAAGCCATTAGGTGAAATGCTTAAGGGTAACGCCGCCAAAGTACCCGAGCTTCATCCACTACTAAAATCAAATAATCGTCTTAAGGTTTTAACACCAAAGTTTAATAGCAATGCCCTTGAGCAGAGCCAAATACCAGTCCAACATACAAAGCCATTAGGTGAAATGCTTAAGGGTAACGCCGCCAAAGTACCCGAGCTTCATCCACTACTAAAATCAAATAATCGTCTTAAGGTTTTAACACCAAAGTTTAATAGCAATGCCCTTGAGCAGAGCCAAATACCAGTCCAATATACAAAGCCATTAGGTGAAATGCTTAAGGGTAATGCCGCCAAAGTACCCGAGCTTCATCCACTACTAAAATCAAATAATCGTCTTAAGGTTTTAACACCAAAGTTTAATAGCAATGCCCTTGAGCAGAGCCAAATACCAGTCCAACATACAAAGCCATTAGGTGAAATGCTTAAGGGTAACGCCGCCAAAGTATCCGAGCTTCATCCTCTTCTTAAATCAAGTAATCATTTAAAAGTTTTATCATCAAAGGATATTAAAAAGATCAGAACGTCGCCCAAAAGGACATCAACTAAGGTGGGAGCAAAATTTTCATGGGCTTTTAAGAAAATTCTTAAGAAAAGACAACCTCCCGTATCAAAATTCTTTAAAGATTTAATAAAAAGCAGCGATGTCGATATGCCCGAACGTGTTTCTAATCTGAGAAGTGTTACTAGTTTGGCTGTAGCTCAAAAACATAAGAAAAATCAGATCGCAAAGATGGCTGAAGAAATGCCTTCTAGTCCTAAGAAGACCCATTCGACAAAAAAGGTAGAGCCAAATTACGGTCTTCGCGCTGCGGGAACTTATAGAAGAATGAATATAGGCTTGACAAAACCATTCCATAAAAAACTGAAGGGCAAAGAAATCACAATGCCAGAACTCAATCCGGCTTTGACAAGCAATTATCGAATAAAAACAATAAGTAAAACACTTAAAAAATCTTCTGCATCATCCATCGAGGCGGATTCTATAATTTCCGAACAAACTTTAAAAGACTTTAGTTTCTCAAAACTCAGGCCCGACGTTTCGAAACCTTTTAAGAATCGACAAAGCTCCAAAGATCGCAGTGTTTCGCGACCTTCTCACAAAATTCCGGTGGTCAAAGAGTCCCAAGCAAGTCTACTAAAGCGTAAAAAAAAGCCGCCCGGTGATCCACCGCAAAAAAACTCCATCCGAAACAGTAATTTTGATCAGATATCGGTTCAGTCCGGCATTCGAAAGATAAAGCTAAAAAAGTTCTATCACTACATAAAAAACTCCAAGCCGGATCAGAAAATATGGAGTAAAATGAACTCCAAGGATCCGATTTCATACCTGAAAAGCGATAAGAGTTTTTTCTATCACAAGTCATTTAGTCAAACCTCATCGGATAAGAACTTGCATATTTCCAGGTCTGTGATCAGCACAACGAATATTTCCAACTCTACGCATGGGAAGATGAGGGAGTCGAAGGAGGAGGAGGTGCCCCGAGATACGGACGCGTACTTATTTGACACCAATTTGGAGGAAAATTATGCGCAAAGTGGCAAGATCGGTGAGAGTCAGGCGCTCAGCTTTCAGAACTTGAGGGATGAGGTGCGTCAGAATTTCCTCAAGGAGGAGCGGGCTGCGGTGCAGGCACGTATACAAGAGCTGATGAAAGAGGTGGCCATACGTGAGGACTATCGCCCCCCAAAACCACCGAAGAATTTTGTGATGGAGAACATTCTCAGGCTTCAAAACATACGGGTCACGAAAACACCTCACGTAGTAGAGAAAATAAATCACCGAGGAAAGTTCCCCACTTTGAGAGAGACACTAACCGTGCCCGAGGACTCTGTAAATCTTTCAAGATTATCCCAAGGAGTGTACAACACGCAACCCCTAAGAATTCGTCGATATTCCGATAAATTGGGGAAGAGCCAGCTGGATAATAAACAACCTGAGGTTAAGGAAACACCCATGGCAGATAATGTTTGTAAGATGACTGAACGGAGAAAATGTGACTGCTATGTGTGCAGTTTGTTTTCACAAGGTAAATTCAAGCTGTTGTTTTCTTGATCTCCACTAATATATTATCCTCACTTAGGCAAAGAAGAAAAGGACTCGGATTTCATCCAGAAAGCAAAGGCCCAAAGGCGTCGAAGTGAACTCCGTGCTTATTACCATAAATTGCGAAGAAGGGAACGTGAAGAGGGGATATTGTGCCCAACAAAATGCTTAAATTTTGATTATAAGACCGAAGTTCCAAGAGCGGAAATCAATCTAGGGAATGTCATAAGGGAAGAACCAGGCACCTTATGATAATCCTTAGATTAATTAACGATGCCGGACTTTTTATGCTTCTCAAGACCATAAAATGTAATGTGCCTTCTTATTGGTGGGTGTCAATCCACATGCCTTAGAAAAACTAGGTAATTTTTTTAATTTTTTTTAGGTTTTATCAACAAAATTGCCTTTCAGCGATGAATGTTTTAAGTGCTCTGAAGACAAAGAAGCTGAACCTGCAGAACACCTGCACTTCCTACTACGACTTCTTGACCTGTGGCAACAACTGTCTGGATTCGTTGAGTTGCTCCACTCTGCATTCGGATCCTCCTGCCCAGCAAAAGTTGGAGAGGCCTCCACGCATAACCAGGCGTGGATTGAAGTACTTCGATGTGGAGGACAGGGCGGCAGAGTGGTATCTTCATACCCGAAGATCCACAGTCGAGCGGAAGCCGGGCAAACGGAAGTTCTGCTTCAGATTTCAGGTGCCCATAAGGCATGCCCTGCGGCTGAAGGACAAAGCGGCTTCTTATGTCCTTCCAGGACGAAGGGTCTCACCTGAATTCCTGGGCCTGCTCAAGCAGCACCACGCCAGGATGCAGCTGCAGCGTAAGTACCGGTTGTGTAGGCCAAACTTCGCCTATTACAAGTACGATGCGGCGGCCAAGAGACGGCACATGCGTCCGGGCATCGATACGGCGGCTCCTCTGGAGTTCCCCTGCACCAATGTGGCTTGCTTCCGTCACCGAGAGCGACCCATCTGCCCTTGTCCTCGAAAGCTGGATACTCCTGCTCCTACAGAGAAGATCAGAGTTCCCAAAAGCAAGCCATCTAGGTTGAGCTTTAAACTGTTTGCCAAATACCAAGGTAGTTCGGTCAAAAAAGAAAGTAATCAAAAGGATTTAGGGAAGAAAGATAACCATAAGACTAGGAAAGCTGATTCAAAGAATGAGAATAAGATGCAGTCAAAGGAAAGTCATTTGGAAGGGAATACCCTACATCGAATTTATGTCAGTAATCCATTGTTAGTTCCTCAGCCGATAAGCCAGCAACCTTCTAACCAGCCACCTGTTGCCAGATCCCAGAACAGTTTGGAGCCTAGTTGTCGATCCAAACCCATGATATCCAGATCCCAGGGAAGTTTAAAGCCCAGTGAAAAAATAATCGACTGTCCTTGTCCCATTGTTAATCCTAAATGGATTCCAAAGTCCTGCAATATTCAAATTTGTCCCAGTAAAAAGGCTCGATTGAGAAAGAGCCGAGATCCTCGCTTCATCGAATACGAAAATCGTCCTTTCTTTAAAGCCATTCAGGGAACTAGTTATGTAAGTGGTGCCCTTAAAAGTAACAAAAACCCCAGGAGCGGTAGTCAAACTAGATCAACCAGGGATAATAGGAAATGTTCTATTATATCCAGAAAAGAGTGCTCGAACATTTACCCAGATCAAGATCATTCAAAAGTTCAGGCAAATACTGAGGTACCACCTGATCCAGATTCAGAGCATGCCTTCTACGCCTCCATCTCCAATCATTGGCAACTAAGTGTGGAACGCTCTCATCAACCTGGCCTTAAAGATAAGTATGACATAGAAAATCCCCAGGGAGTAAGCACTGGATACAAAGGTTTCGTACACCACTCCGAAAAACAGAAAATAATTGATCAGTGCGGAGGTCCGATCCCTAAATGCAAAAGAAAGAAGCCACCACCGTATTGTTATCTGTGGTCAGCCGTCGATCCGGACATTCGGGGGGCGGAGAAGCGGCGTCTGGCGGAGCACAAGTCTTGCCAACGGCAAATGTTTCCGGACAGTAGGCCATACTCCTACTACTGGTCCAAAACGAATCCAGATGTAAGAGGGCAGGTGAAACGCAGATTGAGGGAGACTGATAGTCAACGCACTTATGGCTTGCCACAAACTCAATTATATATAGATTCTAATGAGGAAGCTTGTACGTGCAGCAGATCCACAATTACTCAGTCCGTTGGTAAAATCAGCTCCGATTTTGAAGAGCCTTGCAATTCTTTATCCATTTGGAATGCTTCGAATCGAAAGGAGGCCAAAGGTGGTTCCGTTTTTTGGGAGGACGATGACATTCCCACCAAAAAAAGAAAGCTCAAGTGGTCGGGAACCCTTTCTAGAAAGCTAACAACAGATTCAGATGGTCACATGCCAAAGAAGCCAAGCCTGCTGCCCCGACTACACGCCTTTGCCAAGCGATTCTTTTGGTCCAGCTTTAAAGATCTTCAGTTTAAATCCAATCAATCAGGGAGTGAAGAACCAAGGCATTCTCCCAGATCCAGAGATTCCAGTGCAGATGGTCATAGAAAAAGGGAAGGATCCTTTAAGCAAGAGCCTCGAAGTATAATTTGTAAAGAAACAAAGCCTTCTGTCAACAAAGGAATAACCTTCAGAGAACAACCTAGAATACAGGATATACGAGGACCAAGAGATCTTAGGCTATGGACAAAACAGAGTTGGAGTAATGAATCCAGTCCAAGACGACTCAACAAATCACCGCTTTCCTCCGCATCCGAAAGACAAAGATACAGTGAGGAACCATCTTATTCAAGGAGAGCACCAAAAGTCAGAAGGACCCAACATAAACAGATCAGAACTGAGTCCTATGGCAGCTGCAAGTGGAACAACACGTCAAGTGACCATTGTTTACTCACCCATCAACCGCAGCAGTATTCCTGTCGAGCTCCTCAGCCGCTGGTATCTCGTGCCCAGCGGGAGTGGGAGGAACGACGTGAACGAAAAAGGGCCAGAAGTCACAGAGACAAATGCAGGTACTGCACTGATTACTTACTTACCTCACGCCAGACTGAGCCACAAAACAAGGACATACGTCAGGGAATTGTCACATATCGCAACAAGGAGTTCTCTATTAAACTCAGTGATCCATGTTTGATTGAACCAAGGAGCACAGAACACTGTCCCTTGAGATCTAGAAATCGTCGACATCAGGCTGAAAGTTGCGATAATTCCGATGGCTCTAGTTACACCAAATGCCCTTCAAGATCCGGAAGAATGCGTGGAGGAATAGATTTCCGTGAGAATGCCTTCTCTCCACGAAGGCATCGCTACTCAGCGCACAGCTTTCCAACCTACTTGTCTTCCAAACTGCATGGCAATCAGCGATTGCATCATCAAAATCCATCGAAGACGCCTATGCACTTATTTTGTTTTGATTAGGAGACGGTCAGTGGAGCATGCTGTCCGACTGTCAAGTGGATATACCACCATACTGCCACCTGACAGCCGGGCTAGCATGCTGCAAATTGTGCCGTGGACATTTTCAAATTATCACGATAAAAGTTTTAATTGCGTACAAACAACTGATTTTGTAAGGAGAATATAAATGCATTGCTGGCTGGTAGGGATCTCTGGTTGAAGTCGTCCGACCTTACTCGTTGGTGAACTTGGCCGGGCGCTTCTCGGCAAAGGCAGTCATGCCCTCCTTGCGATCAGCCTATTAAGAGTCAAGAATCCAAAGATTAGATAGGGCAACACAGAGAGTTAAAAACCAAAACTCACCGTGGAGAAGGTGGCGTGGAAGGTGCGACGCTCGAACTTGAGGCCCTCCTGGAGCGTGGTCTCGTAGGCCGTGTTCACCGCCTCCTTGCACAGCTGCACGATCAGATTCGAGTGGGTGCCGATCTTCTCGCCCAGCTTGACGGCCTCGCCCAGCAGCTGGTCGGCGGGCACCACCTTGCTGGCCAGACCCAGTTTCTCGGCCTCCTGGGCGCCGATCATGTTGCCGGTTAGGCACATCTCCATGGCCTTGGACTTGCCCACGACGCGGGTCAGACGCTGGGTGCCACCGGCTCCGGGAATGGTGCCCAATGCAATCTCCGGCTGGCCGAACTTGGCCTTGTCTCCCGCATAGATGATGTCGCACATCATGGCCAGCTCACAGCCACCGCCCAAGGCGTAGCCGTTCACGGCGGCAATGATGGGCTTCTGGGTGCGTGCCACCTCGGTCCAGTCGTTCAGGAAGTTGCCCTGGATGCACTGCGAGTAGGTGTTGCCCACCATCTCCTTGATGTCGGCACCGGCGGCGAAGGCCTTCTCGCTGCCCGTCAAAACGATGGCGGCGATGCTCGAATCCCTGCCATACTGCTGCAATGCGGTGGACAACTCCTTCATCAGGCCATTGCACAGGGCATTCAGTGCCTTGGGACGATTCAGGGTGATCACGGCCACGTTCTTGCCCTCGCCCGCGACTTCGGTCTTGATGTACTCCCAGTTGTTGTTGGTGCCTATCAGGGGGGCGGGCGAAAAAGAGATGGCATCATGAGGTGATCGTGTGTGTATGTGTGTGTGTGTGTGTGTGGATATTACGCAACCAGTGTTTGGCTGGAAAAGTACCAAGTTCTTGTTGATGCAAACCGGCACTTCACATCTCGATTTTCCAGCTTAGGTTACAGCTGGGCTCCTCTGACCGGGAGTGGACTTTGATCCCCCATTTAAATTGCTAATATACTTACAGGAGCTGCTGAACCGGGTGGCCACCTGTGGCTGGCGGGCAGCTGCCTGCAGGACATTCTGGGCACGGGAGGCGAAGATCTTAGCAATGTTGGCCATTTTCAATGGGGAATCTGAGCCGGCTGCAAGTGCAATGCGTTATCTAATCAAGTGGGGGATCTGATATGGAGCCACTTCCAGAACAAGGTACTTACGCTGCGGAGCACTGGAGCAATATTGGCGCACTCGAGGCAAAAGTGTGACCGTTTGCTCGTTGCGGAGAAATATCACGGTTCCCGGTCACGGTTTTAGTCAAAGCAACAAGTGGTTCTCACTTCGTTGATTTTAAAAAAATCAAAAAATTATTAAGTGCAAATATATTTTTTTTTTAAATTTTTTATTGTATGTAAAGTGTTTTATAACTTAAATGTTGAGGTATAAAATGTGATGTTCTAAGGGATACAAAATACAAAATTAAGTTTAGAGCTATGTAATAGGGCTTGCAGGTACATATGTATGTATCTTACTTATTGATCTGGTAACTTCACTTTTTACTTTTAAAGAATTTTAAACTTAAAACGCTTTGAATTACTGTACTATAATTGTAAGTTATTAAAAAAAAAAAAGCCCATCAAGGTAAATGGGTTTATAAATGTTATTCTACTTGGTTTACTCTAACATTCGTTTATATTTTAATGGGATGTCTAATCCATTAAACTTACAACTAAAATACATAAATATAACTTACAATTACCTATCTTACTTTTCATTTTACTAATTTCTGAGTAATTTTAAACTTTAAAGCGCTTTTGATCACTGATTGTACAGACTTTTCAAACACTAAAACGGTTGCAATTTAAAACTTGAAAGCATTTAATACTCAGAGCATCAGAGAACTATTAACTGGATTACAAGTAGTCCCTAAACCTTTGGTATGTCAGATTGCTGGGCACGATTGGTGCTGGTCTCCACCAGCCAAATGTGCTCCTCACGTTCCCTTCTGTGGTCATTATCCCGACGAACCCGCCAAATTAGGATTAGCAGAACTACGATCAGGAAGGAGAATAATGATATCACCAGACTGAAGACAAAGGCTGTGGGTGCTAAAAGTAAAATAAGTAAATTAAATAAAATTAAGGGGTTCCTTGAAGTATACAACTTACTTTCACAGTAGGGAAATTTGTTAATCCACAAAGAGTCTTCACAAATGTTCTGGTGCTCTCCTTTGAGTGAGTGTTCCGCTGGGCACTCGTAGTAGATACGCGTGCCATTGGCTACTCTTGATCCCGCTGGAAGGATTGCATCGGTGAAGTGCTTAACTATCACATTTGGCAGCTGGGGAATCACGCATTCCCCGTTCTTCTGAATAGGATTGGCTGGTGGTCTCCTCGTCGTGGTCAATGTGGGTGTTATCATTATGACATCGCTTTCCTTGGCTGCAGTGGTGGTGGATCTGACCGTTGTGGTTGGTATGACGACACCTTCGCAAAGAGACTCCTGTTCGTCATCGCCGTCCCGGCAATCTCGGATGCCATCGCAAAGCTTGGAGTAGGGCATGCACTGTCCGGAGGAGCAGTACATCTCCCAGTTGTCGCAGTTGGCCTGCTGCATTTGAGCCCGGCACAGCCATCCCTGCTCATCCGATCCGTCCACACAGTCGCGCACACCATCGCAAACCGCCGTGCTGGCTATGCACGCTCCGTAGCTGCAGCGGAATCCATAGCCCGGACACCAGACCTTTTCGCACATGGCGGACGTCTCGTCGGTGGCATCCAAGCAGTCGGCTCTGCCATCGCAAAGCTGGTCCAGTTCGATGCAGTCGCCTCCTCCGCACCGATGGCCGCAGCTCGTGGCGTTCCACGATCCAGAGCAACTGGCGAACGCCAAGGATAGAACGACCAGCAACAGCAGAGATCGATTCCGATGCGCTTCAAACATTTCGAATGGCTTGCAATTGACAGACTGGCTGCTTTACGTCGTGGTTAAAGGGTATTATTAGGGAAGCCTACGAAACCAGTTTATTGATGACATGACGATAGCTGTGTAAATGTGTAAAGTCATGGGCTTTTCTGAGCGGCGATGATAATTATTTTGCATGTATCAATGGCCCAGCTCGTTTTATTTTCTGATAAAACTTATCTGGTGTACTTCCCATAATTTATTCCATTTAATTATTACTTTAATGGTAAATACACATGAACTATTCCCCCTTTCTCCGTATTACAAAAATATTGTAAAATTATCCAAAACACTCTAATGCGGAAATGGTTGACATATTTATGATCATGATAATAAAGACAATCAGTCTGCTTTAAAAACTACATATAAAAAGTAGGATAGAATTATTAGGCCCTTTAAGCAAAAAAAAAAAAAAAACAAACAAAAATCAGTTTCAGGGATTAAAAACCCTTATATTGTGTTCATTTATTAATCTAGTTGTTCATTGTTCTCTCATTGCTTTTCAAATGCATATTTTACTTTAGTTCTCAAAGTGAGTATACTTATGTTAGTACGAATAAAGTGCTTTAGCTTATAATCGAGCGAATTAATTATAAAGAAAAACGTTGTTAGTTGGGTACAAATATAAATACAGCTGGGGGATAGCTGGCCGGAAACAAAAAACTGCAAATACTTGAAGTAAATTTAAGTAACACGTCAAATGCTTTTCGACAAGAAAAGTCTACTTATTTCTTGTGGGCGGATGCCGGTGGTGTGCCCAAAAACTTTCGCTTTTTAATGGTGCCTCCTTTGAAGGGAGTGGCTGCAGGGGCAGATACATAGTTTAGAAAGAGAATCGTATAGATGGTGTATCACCTACCATATAGCGAGAGTAGATCATGTTTGCTGCTGGGCACCCGCTTGATCACTGTTCCCGGCGTCCGCGTCGTATCTATGACGATGTACTGCTCCCAGAACGAAACGGGCAACTCGAGCAGCGCCTTCATCACCTGCTTCTGTGTGAAGACCTCTGTGTAAATAGCGTGCTGATCGGGATCCGGCGTGGAATAGCCCACAATGGTGGGACCAAAGATGAGCGCGATATTATCGATCGGCATGAGCACCACTGGGCACTGAGCGATGCGCTGGAAATGCAGTATAAGGAAGGCCAGCGTATCCCGATTTGCCTGCGGCAACTGCTTCACCGACTTGTACAGCATCTCTTGGGCCGTTTTGGGATCGGGATTCTGCACTGCGTTTGCGAAATCCTTCCACTGGCTGGTCGGAATAAGCGGCTCTGTAAGAGACCGCAGAAAGTCCTTCACACAACAGCACAGCACATAGATATCTGTGTTGCCCAGATGCGGAGTGGCCTTGCCGCGCAGGAACTGCTCCTTGAGGGCCTTGTACTCCCGCTCCGACGAGGATACCCGATAGAGGCCCACCTCGCTGAGGCCACGGGCCTCAATCTCGTTTACACAGTGCACAATAAGGGCCGGAATCATGGGTGCAATGGACGGGGCAAAGTCGGTCACGTAGCCGGTCATGGTCTTGGTTGTGGGCGTTCCCGTCTGCGGCACACAGCTGACGGTAAGCAGATAGCGACAATCGATGTGACAGCGTACCGGGCAATCCCGACATCTCAGGCCAACGGCCCCGAACCGAATGCTGGAAAAAGTATAATATATTTAATCAATGAAGACTATAGGTACATCAAAACATGCTCCATACCGTTTCTGGCACTGAACACAATTGTCGCCGCGCAAAAAGGTCTTCTGGCTGAAAGTGTGGCTCCTCATCAGCGGACGGTGCTGCAGAGGAGTGCCGGATTCGGCGGCCACATGCGGCGCCATTGCATTCACCGGCGTCAGAGGCGGAGCGGTGGCCTCCTTCAGGACCGATCGACGTGGCGTCGAGGATAGACCCTCACAGATCCTCTCGTGACCGCCAATCACCGGCAGTGACTCAATGGTCGACTCCGCCCGGATCACGCCCTGCCCGTCCTGTGGTATGGTGACCTTGGTGGTGGCACAAAAGCGCTCAGCGCCCTGACCCACGTCCACCGTGTGCTGCTCCACTCCGATGCCGACGCCAGAGCGCCGTGACTTACTGGTGGTTGGGGTATTCCCGGACACACTGCCGTTGAGACCCGTACTCAGGCGCGATCTCTTATTGCCCACGCAAGGAATCGGGTTCTTGGGCAGCGAGGGTCGGTGCTCCCGCCAGGACTTCGATGTGCGCACGTCGAGGAAGTCGTCCTCGGAGTGGGTGATGGACAGATCGGACAGCAGCGAGCCGGTGGAGTTGATGTCGCCATAGGACTTGTCCTCACGCACGGCGTTCAGGGATTTGCGCTTCCTCGACGAGGGCAGTGTGTGTAGGAAGGCCAGCTTGTCGCGGGTCTCGTTGTTCAGATTGCGCTCGTGGCGCAGCAAATCGGCCACAGCCATTATCTTGCCCTCCATGGCGTCCCGTTCGTGCTCCGCCTGGCGACGCGCCTTGATCTCCATGTCGATGATGCGACGGGCGTGAAAGAGCTTGCCCTCCAGGTCGCCCATCTTGGTCAGCGACTTGTCCAGCTCGTTCTGGATCCTGGCCGTCTCGGCCGCATAGCCCGCGCACTTTTCGTGGTACTGCTCGAACATGCGCAGGAACCGCAGGAACTCTGTGTTGGAAACGCAGTTGTAGGGATTCCACCGCACCAATCACTACTGAGGCTACTTTACTCACCCTCTTCGGCAGTTCCATCGGTTAGCACTTGCATGCAGCGTCGCAGATCATCAAAGGACGCCAAGGCGGATAGCGCCATTTTCGGTTTGCTCCTTGTATCTCTGGATAGAATTTCACGTGCAGGGACTGCCTGCGCTGTGGATCCCTTGATTCAACACAAATTTCTATTGAAAATACGTTATGTTTTTTCAATAAATGAGATGCGAACGGAGCACGCTGCAAAGGACGCGATGATTTTTTTCAAGTTCCGTTGTTTTCAAATTGACGCCATACCCGCAGTGTGACCGTCTCGCGATAGCGCAAAGAAGGGTTGTCAAATAAAAATAAAATATCGGTATAAGGTTGTGTGCTATAGCTGGATATAAAATTAGTTAATCGATATAAATTTTTGTAACTGAAAAGATTTTACCACATTTGAGAGGACATTTAAGAAATCATTTAGAATAATCTTGGACAGAATGCCATCCGTTCAGTCAGTCAAAATAATCAGGCTGTTGCTTATCATCAAAAATCAAATTCGCAGTTTGATAATTGGCATTTCTCGGACCCGAGTAAATTGTCTTTTTAGTTATCTTCATCTTGGAGCCAAAGAGCAAAACAAGTTTCGGGAAATAAATCCACCATTCGCTGTAGAGAGATGAATGATTCCTTTTTCCCTTCGAAAATATTAAACATGTTATGATAGTGATTGATTAGATATTCACTAAAACTTATATTTACTTTCTTCCGTTTGGTTCGAAAGACATTCTCATATTGGGCACAACTTTTTATTTGTATTATAGAATTATATTAAAATTTCGTTGTATATTAGTACAATACTTAAACAACTTTCACTTATTGAAAAGTATCCATTTAATAGATACATTGCGAAATTAAGTATCGCCTCAAAATATCGCTACATTGTCGATAGGCAAGTGGTTGCGACAACTGGTCTCTCTTTTTGTGTACCATGTATTGTCTGGTATTTAAAGAGATTTTTTGAGAGCTTAAATGCATAATTTTAGTATATTTCTATGCCCGATGGTATTTTTCACCTTCCCAAGACGGTCACATTGTCTCTTTGCAACGCGATGGGAAAAGAGGGCGATAACTAAGTTAAAAATGTAAACGCGGATGCTAGGCCTGCTGAATAATAGTGCACGCGCGAGTCACCCGTTTAATCGCCGATTTTCAACTGTTTTCGCGGCCCACGTCGACGTCATCCTGCAGCTTTTGTTGTTTGCCAGCAGCTCCAGCATCACACACACCCACACAGCCACAAAACGCACTCACCTACACGAGCGAATGTAGATAAAAGTGAGAAAACACTCACGCACGCACACACACAGGGACACGCTTGGTCGTGGGCAAGCATTTAATTTAGTTGGTAGTTGGTGCTCATTGAAACACAGAGAGTTGAGCGAAAACGCGACATCAACTTGCACAAATTGTAAGAGGAGTGGGAGCGAGCGGTAGCGGGAGCGGGGATCGAGTGAGAGCGCCGATTAGTGCCAACACCCAAGCGCCGATCTCGGAGCGAGCAAACAATAAACAAACAGTGAAAGTAACAGTAAACGCAATCGCTGCAATTTGGCTTGCATTGATTGCATTTAACTCTCGGTCCGCCAGCAGAAGTCACTCATCCAACCAACAACAATGGGCAACTGCCTCACCACTCAGAAGGGCGAGCAAGCCGACAAGCCCGCCGATCGTGTCAAGCTGGACGACCCGCCCACCAACAGCGGCAGCGTGGGCGTGCCCCAGATCCCCATGCCCTTGCACCCCGGACAGCCGCCGGAGCAGATCCGTCCGGTTCCACAGATCCCGGAGGGCGACACGGCCAGCGCCAACGCCAAGATATTCGTGGCCCTCTACGACTACGACGCCCGAACCGACGAAGACTTGAGCTTCCGCAAGGGAGAGCACCTGGAAATATTGAATGACACACAGGTGAGTGCCACTTCGTTTACACGGACGCCCAATTCGCAAACCATTATGAATTCCAATTTGTAAATAAAGAGCGAACTCCTCGTAAAAGTAAACAAATAATTATGTTAACTGACAAAGATGTAAAAAGATTGAGGAGCTCAAAGAATTCCCATTGGAAACAGTAAAAATATCACTTAATTATAAATATAATCATTTAAAAGCTGCTTATTTATGGCAATTTAAAAATGTTAATCATTGTTAAATACTTATCTGGCAATGATAAACGAATCTGAATATATCGTTTAGGCAGTAGCTCTCGTATAAACATATTTTGAGCGAGTAAGTGATTCAGTTAGCCGGGAGGGAAGGTGTATAATGTAGGTGTGTAGGTGTGAGCGGAAGAATGCGGGAGAGAGCGCCTGATAAAGAGTGCAAAATTCTTGATAACAGCGCTTGCTTGATTGTTTGCTGTGTGAATTAAAAGAACACCTATCCATTTCTAATCATATTGATATGGTCACTTAAGAGTGAGTTAATTTGTATATACTTATTTCCTAATTGTACAGGAAATAATAACAATAACAATAAAACCCGTCATTTTTGGCAGTCATCATTTATAAATTACGTTTTAATCACTTCACAGATAGCCTTTACTCTTCAAAAAAAAAATACGCATAGAAACAATAATAATGACTTATATTTTTAATTTATTTCTGGGTCCAAAGCGTTATAAAAACATCATCAAATTTCCCCAAGAACATCGAAATTTAACAATTGTTTTTATGGTATCTTTCGGGTGTTCACTACTTCGCAAACATTAGAAAAAAGGAAAACTATAGCTGTACGGATTTTCCCTGTGATGAAGATCTAAAAAGATAAAACATGACATTTAAGAAAAGGAAACTCTTATCAAAAGCTCATTGTTTTGTTATTGTTCAAAATTAATTTTAAAATTAATAGAATTTTTTTTATTAATTTAAGAGCGATTTTGTAATGATTACAATCGAATTTTACGAGTGTAAACGGTATTTTAGCTAAAAATATCTCTACTGGTAATTACCTTTGTACATATTTGAAAACTTTTTAATTATGGCCTTAAACAATTTGCGTGTGTTTTAATTGCTCAATTCATTGAACGCGAAATGCGGCCCATGCAATGCACTATCGAGGATGAGATTACTTTTCAAACTGGCATTTAAAGTTGGTGAGCATTTCTTTCAAAATCTTTAATCGTGAGAATACCGTGCCGCAAAAGATAGAGTTTCTAAAAATTAAAAAGTGTGTATATATATCTATTTAACTATATGATAACCCATCCGGTTGACTTTTTTTTTAAAGCCGTTTACGGGGAAATTTTTACTAGATAGATTTTAATTGATAACATTCCAGCCAAATGATATTACAAATGTTTCAGACTATACATAGCTATACAAAATTCACAAAAATGTCAGACTATACATAGCTATACAAAAGAGGATGCAACAATTATAATATCGGCTACCAAAGTCGTAAAGCAAAAGAATTGTGTTTTCCACCCTTTCAAGTGTATGCATGTATTCTTGATTAAGATATTTAGCCCAGTTGACCCAGCAAAATTTGTTTGTCTGTCCGTCTGAACTTTAAGATCTCGTAAACCACGTATAAAGCTAGAGCGTTGGGAAACCATTATTTTGTGGCACACATGGTTGCTCCAAGTTTTTGATGGAATAGGAATATCCACCCCAAGCATGTTCCAAATAAAAAAGAAAAAATATTTTAGATGTTATTTAGAAATCAGGGTCATCTCCGGCAGATACATTTGCCTTCATCTACGTTTTTCAAATTCACATGCACCTATATTGTGGCGTTGTTGCTTATTTGCCATTGATTTTGTACATTGAGTAATGGGAATCACCCGACTATTGTTCACTGAGCAAGCTGTGCTTAAATGCTCAATTATTTATTGGTTATAATCATTATTTTTATACTGCATGATTTTCAGAGCTTATCGGTTATTTTCCAAACTCAAGTTCCACAGCACCAGTGCCCAACGGCTGCTACTTTCGCCCCACATCGATGCGTCATGTTGAATGTGCTGTCCAACCATAGCTCCATACTTTCCTCTTTGCTTACTTCGTTTCAATGTCGCCAACTTTTAAGAACACAATAAGTAAATGCTTTTTTGAGACGGTTTGTGCAGAACCGGACGCCGTAATTGCGGCCAACGGCGTCACATGCCAATTGAACCAACTCGAAAGCAGCAGCAATAGGAATCCCGGACTGCAGTTTGTTTAATTCCCTCACTAAGGTACTTTGAATTGATAGAACTTTTAGTTTCTATTAAAGTTTTTACTTTTTAAAGCGTTTTTGATTATGGAAAATCCAGTACAAAAGTTCTCAAATGCACTTTTAAGATTTTTTGCCATTTATGTGACTGTAAACTCTTAATCGAGAATGGTCTGGCTTATCGTTTATGCAGAAATTTATGGTGTGCCATTTAATGCATTCGAGATGTGCGAAATCGACACGTTTCTTTGCTATCTTTCGGTAGGGTATTCGTTGTTCGCTATTGAGTGCATAACATTCTGGGCAGCAGCATCTTTTCATTAATACAGATGAAGCTGTGTATACATTGTAAAACATAAACAATTAACCCAACTGCAACTCCTCTTGAAACCATAAACAGACGTCGACACATCTGCACTGGTTAAAGTAAATAAAACTCGGATAGTTTGACTGCTAAAAGAGTTCTATAATTAGCCAGCCATCGGAGGTCACCGCCCACAGCGGCCACCCATCCTAACTGACTATGTTGTGACATAAGTGGCAAGTGGGCAACCAACGCCCCTCCTCGCCGCCCAGGAATTTGTATTTAAAGACTTTACGTCAACATAGCCATGACCACCTTACAGTGGCAGACGGCGCTAGAACCATGACGTCTGCCATTGGCTGCTGGCCAAAAGTTGCGCACTCCCCGCATATTTGGATTTGAGTGGCAATCGGACTTATTAATTCAAAAGCAACGCGCAAGAGTTCTTATGATTTGTTGAGGCAATTCAAGGTGCATCTTAAAGCTTTTCACCGCTTTCCCCCCCAAACAAGCGGCAGTCATTACCCATGGTCAGTACTTGAGTGGCAGTTCCGTGGCTAGTGTTTCCGGTGAGGCAGTGTTTAATTAAGGTACGACACACACACACAGACACGCAAGACTTTCGACGTTGTGTATTTTGTACACTTTTATATACACGCTACCCGGCTTCCCCTTTTTATGGAAGCCTTTCGTTCGTCTTTCGCTTCTTGAGCGGTACACGCCAGGCATAGAAATCAAAATTGTATGTAAAATAATAAAAATATTTTATGGGAGTGCCTCCTGTGTGCTGTCAATGAATGTC